TCTTCGAGCAAGTCTGTCTATAAAAGCCTTTTATTTGAAATTTCTTTCTTCGATTACCTCGTCTCGTATCATCGCTGAACCAGTTGAACACGGACAGTGTTTTACTTGTTTACGATGATATCATTTTGGTGATTCTCGAACAATTTTCAGGTAAAGAGTTCATCGCTTTCACTAATCTTTTGTCGGCATTATTTTCCGATATTTATTAAGTATGAATAATTCTACTTGACAATAGAATCTGTCAATGAAGTTGATTAATGTCGAGCTGTTTGATAGATAAGCAAACATAATGAATGTTTTTTTAATAGGTATTATCCAACAAAGTTAATGATCAGAAAATAAGATGAAATAAATCATGAAAAATCAGACTATGAATGATGGCGTTTGAAGCAGTTTGTGGAGGAGTGAATAACACATGATATACATGCGCACGATCGATTAAGAAAAGAACGTTTCCATTTGAGAATAAACCCGTCAATAGAAGATTCTGATATTTCAAATCGTAGGTACAAGCAAGTGAATTAAAGTTAGGCTAATGGTTTTGACGAGTAAGACCAACGGTGGTGTGGGTGATGTTTTCTTCTCGCACCTTCTATACCCACACCCTCAAGACTGTTGCATGTTAGCTACGATTATAATGTCACCCCTCTTTATTTATTTGGAAATTAGTACATAGAAGCTCATTGAATAAACAATAATACAACAATCTTTGTTACTTAGTTTTCCTTTCGTTAGTATTAAGAAATTGTGTATCGAAAATTTTTCTTTTTCTTTAGTCTAAAGATTAAAAGTTGCACGATCTAACATCAATGAACTTTGCTTGAAAATTCTCCAAACTAACATATATATGTACAAAAAGAAGAAAGAACAAAATCTATAATTACTCCACCAGCACAAACAGTATATCTGAGTTTATCGTGTGATCTTGTATTACATTACACAAAGAAGAAGAAGACACAACAGTTGCAAACTAACAAAATGGAACGAATTTTGTACCTTTCTCTCTTTATTTTATGTACACTACATGGTGTGCTTGATGGAGCACATTTCCGTGGCGGTATTCTTTCATGGTAAGAATACTCAATTAACACTTTTTCTTCTATTCAATCTTGCATGTTTTACTTTCTACATTCATTTTATTAGGCGTCCGTTAAACAATACTGCGTCGGGTAGCACTGCACAAATTCTCGTACATCAAAGATATTTCTGGAATCGAGAATGGGGTAGTTTTTCTGTCCCTTATTGTACGGAAGCAAATGTCGCTGCTCAAACACCTATTCCGGTCGGCGCTTATATGACCTGTTTAGCAAACTGCTCAAGTTCTAACTATCCCTCAGGTGGACTTTCAGCCAATATGATAACTACAGATTGTGATTCAAACCCGATCATTCAATCATGGGCTGGTGAACACTATGATACTCTGACATTGCCTTTGACAACATCGATTACAATTGGCTATCCCTCAAGTGCATGGTTTGCTTCACTCTATATTGGCGCTAATGATCCTTGGTCAATTGTCAGTCGAATGAATTTAGCCTTACGACCCGATGGTTTAATTAATTCCAGTCCTGTTACAACTACATTACCAGTAGTATTTTATTCAACATTGACACCAATAGTTCACATTGTACAAATGGCAGATAACGATGGCACTGATATATTGATATGTCGTTGGTCCAATTCGGCTTCTACAACCAATTACAATCGTTATGATGAATGTGGTGGTATTTGCATGGGACTGCCGCCTTCCACTGTACTGATCGGATCCAGTTGCACGTTATCTTTCACTTTACCAACTGCTAATCTCTATTATGCCTGTGCACTGCAAATCGAAGATTTTTATAATACTTCCTCTACGACTCCAATGAGTTCAGTTCCGATACAATTCTTATTCTATGCATACAATCCTTCCGCTAGTGCATGTGCACAACGTCCCTCAATCACCAGTGCCCGTCCAAACAAAGGTGAGAGTATATACTCTAATTTAAGCTAAATTCAAACATTTATTTAATTCTCTTTAGCTTGTATTGGAATTCCAGTTGGTAAGTACAGTTGATAGCTTTTCTTTTCTAATATTGACAATCTATGTTTTAGGTGTTCAACTCAACGAAACTGTAATTGCACAAACATATTGCCCTGGTCAAACAATTGTCGATTTTGTCACTAGTTCACCTATTGGAATGACACATAGTGCTATCAGTAATCCAAGTTCTGGTAAGCAGTTGACAGTACTTTGTTAGAATGTGCAATCTTTTCTACTTCAAATATGATATCTCAGGTACATGGATAATGACGTTGACATGGACACCTGTGTCAACACAATCAGGTCCTCAAGGTTTTTGTGCTGGTGCCATTGATAATAGCAGTCTACAGTCAGACCCATGGTGTATTACATTTTCAGTTGGTTTTATCTCGCCTGAGCTTATTCAAAGTTCAGTTGCACCAATGGGCAATATCTCCCAAAATCAAACTGTTTTTTCGATTCAAAGTAATTTTTATTATTGTGATGGAAAAAACGAGTGCTATTTATATGACACTAAAGACTTATGTTGTATATATTTTTTCTTTCAGTGATTATGAATGATAATAGCCCCAAAACATGAGAAATCAGTGTGTATGTGAAAAAAACATGCTAAATTTATCAATTTCATTAGTAACACATATCACTGATAACTTAATAATGTCCATATTTGATCTGTTCATAATAGGAACTTCATTGTCGAATATTTAAAACATTATCTATCACAAGATTTAATTGTATTTATATATTTTAGCCACAATGGCAGCTAAGCGCCCGTCACGTAATGGCACTTATATTCATTTCACTGACTCTACTAATAATACAGTTGTTCAAATATATGATTGTAGTTCGGCACCACAAGTAACATACATAAATTTCACAATTGTTATTCGCTTTCCAGTTGCACCATGGATTCCTGGACATTCCTATTTTGTTACATTTGATAGTGGTGTGTATGAACTTTTTCTACGACATTCTGTTTTTGATTAGATAGACCATTATTTATCATTTTAGGTGTTACGATTGGAAATGGCTCTTGCGGTAAGTAATCCTATATTTGATGATATTGATCAAACAATTGATACCATCATTGTAGGTACTGAATCTGCGCCAGTTACTGACCCGACCTTTTGGGCATTTAACATTCTCAATCCACCAATCACAACAACAACTACAACATCATCGACAACAACAACATCATCCACAACAACATCGACAACAACATCGTCTACAACAACAACAACTACAATAACAACATCATCATCAACAATATCGTCTACAACAACATCCACAACATCATCGACAACAACATCGTCTACAACAAC